TAGCATAAGCTATCACTGCTGCTGTTACATTAAAAGTAATAAATATTTAGCTATTACTGATATTAATTTTAAAATGATAAAGTTAGAAATAAGAAATCTCAATAATTGGGAAATGCTGTGTTTGAGAATCCTCAGATGTGTTTATTCATTTTAATGATTTGAGCTATGTGGTAGGAGTGCTCCAGGGGAGCAGACAGAGGTCAAGCTGCTGCTGGGGGATCTGCTGGCACCGCTCGCCGCCACCCGCTGCCCCTGGTTCCTGGCTCCTCAGCAGCCCGGCGGCTGCTGCAGCGGTCACTGCGTGACCGAGCGAGGGGAGAACTGGCCAAGCCAGGCCTGCTCACAGGGTCAGGGGCGAGCACCCAGTGKTGGGTATCTGCTTTGAACCTGTTTAATGGACTGAGCTTCAGCTTAAAATCCCAACAGAATTAACTCAGCCTGAGTTTTCTGAATTTTGAYTTGCATAATGGATTTGTTGGAAATCCAGCCATTTCTTTTCCTACATGTTTCTTTTTAAAACACCTGAAAAATACTGTTTGCTCTAGAAGATTCTAAGATCACAGGCACCTAACTTGTCTAGGAAAGGTTTAGGAGAGTCAGTTCTTCACTTACTGATAATTACTGGTATTATTCTCATCCTCTACATTGTGTCCTTTGGGTGGAGCAAGCCAGGTTTTTAGCTTTTGCATCTTGGAAATGCTCGTTTACAATGTGTCAAAGAAAACTTTCTCAGGCTTGTTTTCCTTCAAAAGCTATTTAATTTTTAATGAGAGGAATATTTACTTTGGTAATAAATCCACCCCATGTGAAGAGGCAGTGCAACATCCTTCTCACAGAGGGGACTGAGTGTGTGTGGATCTTACGGAGTGTGATACATGATAAATAATACTCGAGGGACAGCACACGAAAAGCCTGGGAGGAGCAGATACTGAATGAGAGAACTGCCTTGAATGTTGCTGATAGACTGCAGAGGTTTCAGTTCAACTTTTTAAATAGTCTGATAAGTTGTTTTCTTGTTATTAACAAATCGGCAGTGCCATGGAGCACACTTTGGATTTATCCGTGGCTCGAGTGAAATGTATTTGTTTGCTGCTTCCGAGAGGCAAACTTAGCTGCTCTGTCTTGGCTGCACAAGGTCAAGGTGATTAGGTGTGTTGTGAGAGSGCCTTGCTGAAGGAGGCTAGGTCAAAACAAAATATCACAAAATATAGTCAAACTGTGTAACTTCTTGCTGTGGTGTGAATCCTGTGAATCCTCTAAGTCTCTGTATGTTAATAGAAGTAATTGGCTTAATTAATAAAAGATAATTCATGAATGACTGTTATAGCCCCAGCAATGGGTTTATAAAGCTGTTTCCTGAACAATTTACTTCTGTGACTGCGCACAAGCACCACAATAACATACACTTACCCATTTTGGGGGGAGGTCCGTATGCTCTGCTGGTGAATGGGAGGACAGATTTGTCATGCAAAATCTTCTGTGTTTTTAACTGTGTTAACATACTCCTTGCTTTGAGAATAGAGGCTCAGCTGAGGGAATAATTATAGCTTCAGTATCCAGAACATAATATTTTCTTTTCTTAGGTAAGCAGCTGTCAGCTGATACAAAAACTGCTTAATATTACTTCTAGCAATGCCTTAAACATTAAATATACCAAGCAAGTATTCATATATTAATATCACGATTCTTACCCAGTTTTACTCCCAACTTGACAGCTGAATTTTATACAAGTATACAAAATGTTGTGAATGTTGAAGCCTTTAATTAACAGTGGCAAACTTGTTTGTCCCTTAGCAGCTTGTATTTGCATAAAGATTAAGGCCAGTCTGAAGGAAACAGATATAACATAGATTGGAAAAAAATTAATAAATTAGTAATCATGAATAAAAGATAAGTAGTCTTAGATGTTGTTTCCGTAAGTTTTATTAAAATTGAAATGTTTTTAAAGATGTGATTAATATTTTCCCACAATTGATTATTTCTAAAGAAAGATTTGTCTTGAGTGGCCAAATTAGAGAAATTAATGTATTGAGGTCAGACATTAGTATGCAAATTAAACATCGCATTTATTTTGTGTGGTACCAGAAGCATTACCTTATATTTGACCTTTCATTCTTTTAGCTTGACTCAGCTATGTCTGTCAAAACAATTAATTCTAAGCAGCAACTTTAAAGCGTGGGGCTCGGCTTTATTCTCCTCCCTTTGCCTSCTGAAAAGCCCATGAGAAAGGAGCTAATGGAGAGAATCTTTGTGAGTTTTAGTGCTGGAGATTTGTTTCTTCATCTTGCAGGTTCTTATTCCTCCACCCCGGTTCAGCTGCAATGCGTGGCCACAAACCTGCTGCAAGGTTGGACACCCAAGATGAAGTCTCAAGTGACATTATACATAAAAGCTGGTGGAGTAGGAAAAAATGGATAGTTAAAATTCCATAGGAGRGTTTTTTGTAAGTCATAAGTGTCTGCAAAGTAACACTGCAGAAATGTGTACTCCCATATTTTCCAATTAATTGATGAATTAATGGTATAAATGGAGGTGAAAATCTCCTGTAAATTTGCACTGCTGCTGTTCTTCAAGTTGTATTTCTGCTTTGCACTTTACTGACAATGCTTGAACCAACTTTGTATGATGACCCCTTGGGAGTTATGTCATCCAGTTACCCTTATGGTGTGTAGGTGGCAGATGGCAGCTGAAATACAGAAAAAAATGCAGTGGTGCATTGCAAGTGAGTGTAATTTATCTAGCAGTGGGGGGAAAAAATAYGTTGCGCACTGTTTCCTTGCAAAAATGTGCAGATCACAGTAAAATTCTGTTTTTATAGATACTGAGTCTGATTGTAATATCCCTAGCTTGGCAGTTTTTCTTAATTAGTTGTGCTGAGACCATGTTGAGTTTGGGTACATACAAGTGAGTTGAGTAGAGCTACAGAAAATAAACTTTTATTGAAACTTTTATTACTGCCTGTGGTAGCAGTGGAGAAATGGAGTCTGAATATCACCCTCAGTGCAAGTGCTTCCAGTTGAGGTGAGCATGTGGAATAGTCTGGTCTATGTGTCCATTCAGTTCCACAGATATGGACATGGTCTTGCACAGACTTGTTTTTGAAAGGCTTGCTCTCATTAAAAGTGGAGAATATAATTTTAATTGAAATTATGTGATCAAATTAAACTGTGTAGCATCTTAGAAAATCTTGATGGGGGAAAAAAGATAGAGAATGAAAGCAAAATATTAAACTTTGTAAAAGTAGTAACCAGTAAAAGCAATTTAAGAACTATATTCTCTTTTTCATTTAATGGAAGTATAAGATTTGGTAATAAAGATTAGGATGCCCTTACCATCTTATAGTTGCCATACATTTATTTTCAACATACCCATTACAAGAAGTAAAATGCATTACTTYGAAGTGCTCTGCACTGAAAAGGGACATAGGATATCAATGGAATAAATCTCTTTCAGGGAAATATAGCAAAAAAGCAGAGCTTAAAAAAAGAGCATGGAATATTAGTTCTGGATAACTGACTGCAGAATAGTTATTGGAAAACTAAGGAAATCTGCTGTCTTTGAGAAAATTAGTTGGAACGTGCAGATTTATTGTATATTTGACATGATAATTTTTACAGTACTGTGGGTGGATAATAATTATGTTGATTGTTGTTCTCCGCTGGAACAGAACTTTATGAAGTACACTAAATCTGCTCAGGRACACAAAAGAGCAATGTAGTAAAAGCAGTAGTTTCTTTAGTACCTAGTGTGAATTATATTTATTCTGCATGGTGGGTACTTACAAAAATGACTGGAAAAAAGAAGACAACCTGAATGTTTAGTGGGTGCCAAATAATTACCATCAGCTGTCAGACTTCATGAACTTAGAGTAGCATGCTTTAATTTTATCTAGATATGTCCAAAGTAAGGAAAAAGTATCATGGTGAATAAACATCTCACATTTATTTCAGAGCATCATTATCTGTGTCAACTTTTACTTTGGGAATTCGGCAACGACAAGAAGGATAAAGTAATATATTTTGACAGTATGCACAGAGGATTTCAAGCAAAAAATAATGGGGCTGTGCAGAAATTGTCTTCTCAATACTGCCAGGATGCATTTGTGTATACAGTAGTGCTTGCGAGCGTTGCTGGAATTTGTTTTTCTTCATGCTTTTGTTATAGGTTTGAGATGTAGGAAAGTGCCTGTCATGAAACTACTTAGGTGATTTTTTTTTTTAAGTGAAATTAGTAGTATTCTAGCTATAATAAAATGCATGGAGCTGCTGTAGAGCTAGGAATATATAGACCTAGGAATCATGACTTTATCGTTTTGTTTTTCAAAAACCAGATTATTTACATTTGTTTACAAGATTCAGTGACCTCTGCAAAATTAGTATTTTCTACTGCAGGAAAAATATCACACAATCCAGAGAGAATTGTTTTTTCTTGTGCATTTCATCTACTTTAAAAGAATTTGAATAGGTACTCCTTTTACCCACAGCAAACTTTTTAAGCATTTWAACTTTATTTTTTACTTGCTTGAGGGATTCTGAGCTTCACTGTAGAAGGCTGCTGTCATTTAGGTCTCTGCTCTTCAGTTTTGCAATTACACTGCATGTTGAAGGTGCCCAGAATACTTACATTTCAGATGAACTGGTTTCTAAGGTTGATTTCAAGTAATATTTTTTCAGTCCTTCTTAAAAAACCTTCATTGAGGAGATTCTTCCAATCTTATTTAAAAAATGTTTGGATTTTAATATTTTACTATGTGGATTTAAAGAAAAAAATAAAAAGAGCACTAGTAATTGTTGGTCTCTTTCCAGCACATGGTAGCCATAGGTCTGTATAAAACAAACATGTGGGCTCAGTGTGACCATGCAGCCATTCTTACTTTTGGGGAGCAGTGTGGTGTATGTTTTATAATTTAAAAAAAAATGAAATTTCCAAGTGACAGTATTAGATCTTACAAGAGCAAGGTTATTAGAAGACTTAGTTTTTTTTTTTTTTTTCTGCTGCAGTTCACAGACTTTGGAGCATGTGTCAGACGCAAAGGAAGAGCTGCTGGATGCAGGACCGCCAGAGAGGCTGGACCACGATGTCAGCACAGCCCCGGAGGCCGGCCTGCCCTCCCTGTGTCTCAAGCAAGTGTTTCCCAAGTATGCCAAGCAGTTCAATTACCTGCGACTCGTGGACAGAGTGGCTGCCTTGTTCATCCGATTTCTGGGTGTTAAAGGGACAACAAAGCTGGGGCCAACAGGTTTCCGAACGTTTATAAGGTTAGAGACGTGAAGGTTTCTTTAAGAGTCGCATAAAGTGTAATAAAGTAGRGAAACTAAAAGCCGTTAGGTAGCACTACTGTCGCCTTGCTTATCTTTTTGTTGAATAGAAACAAACCCTGATAGTGATACTTTTTTAGCTCATATGTTTAGTAGTCCCTTCTAAAGGAACTCCATAGTATCCTGTAAGAAACCTTGCATGGTCTTTTGTGAAATTGATAAATTTTTATCATTGCAAGTTCCCAAAGTAAATGCTTAAGGGCATAATAGGCGTTCTATTTTATAATTACGCTTTTGCTCTGCAGTTCCTCCAATCTGTCATTTGGTGTTAGAATGATGGAAGCTACTGCCACGATGGTGGCTCGCGGTGTCACCAGCGCACCACTGTGTGACAGCCCAGAGCTGGTTCTCGAGACTGAGCGCTCCCGTTTCCTCCCTGAGGGAGCACCCAGACTGACAGAAGTGTAGACAGACAGCGTTCCCAGTGACACTGCCGAGATTGTCAAGGTTTCCCAAACTAAGTGTCTCAGGGATCCTGTTGGCGGGTTCTGCAAGCAAATGTTCTCTGAGGTAAAAGAAGATCTAAGAATCTGAGCTCACAGAATTGATAATAGTGTCGCATAATTGACACTGTGCAGAATTTATCTAAAAAYGTGATTCTGTATTGGCCATCCTACCAAGTGAAAGGACTTCATGGTTCATTTACTTATAGCAGCTGATTCATTGGAGTTCCCAAGGCTATTTTTTGGTGAGTTTCATGTTTCATAGTTGGAATTTGCTAACAGGTCTCTCCCAAYAGGCAGATAATTAAGCCAAAGTCAAGCCAAAGTCATTATCCTCTGAAAACCATGTATAAAACTTGCACATAAAAAACAACATCAGAGGTATTCTAGCACCACTGTAGTAAAAACAGACTTTTTTCTTTAATTTATGCTTCCCAAGAAAGGACAGAGGAAATAAATTGTGTGCCTATTGTCTTAGTTTATCTTTAGAGTATCCACCTCATGAAATATGCTATGCCTGTGAGGAGTTGGAATAAAGTCCACTRATATCTGTCTTACTGTGTTTATTTCTGCCTATAAAATAAAGGCTAAGTACCTTTATTTCTCTCTCCCTAAATATATTAGCTCCTTGTAAATYATGTTTTCAAAAAATGCACAAGAATAGCCTGTATCAAAGTTGCTAAATGCATTTTAATTGGCCTTAGCTATTGTGGCAATTGCCGTGGATAAACTCAGGATTCTTCATTAATTTGCTGATAAGAAGCTGGTATCAGCAGGTGCTGATAGAGGATTATGGAGTGGGTATGATGTCTGCCTCAGCTGAGGTGTATATTCCAGTCTCCAGCTCCTGGTGCCGGCATTGAACGTCCTGACAAAGCTTTGTGGCAGGTATTTGTGTGAAGTTCCTATATCTTGCTGGGAAGAGATACACCCTGTGTTCAAAGGATTTGTGTTGCAGCTTAGAAAATAGCCTGCTGCTTTGTAAACGTACGGGCACTCCAGGACTGCTTAAAGCTTCAGTCTAAATACCCTTGTGGCTGGAATCGAGTGGGAATAGGCAAAATGAACGGTTTTCTTCCACCTCGTAGCTGTGTGTAAGAGAGGCAAGTTAGGAAAACACATGTAATTTAGGTATCATAAATGCGTTAAATAATAGAATGAAGATAGAGAGAACATCCTTCTTTGCTCTTGGTATTTGATAATGAGTCTAATCTTACAGAAGCTCTGCAGTACTCAGAATAAAGTGAATAAACTGACCGAGGAAGCTAGTAGGTACCCTTGGATCTTCATTTTACAGATCGGTAATGACTGGAAGATACTATTTGCAATCCTTGTCAATATGTCAAGTGTCTGGTGAACCTTAGCAATACAAATAGATCAGTATTTAAAAATTAAGAAAAATGACAAATGAGATTGGCTGATTTAACATTTGTTTATGCCAGCTATGGGGCACAGTCTGCCCTAAGCCAGAAGAGAACATTTCCTAATGCCAGTTACTGCTGCATTGTGCGCTAAGGATTTGCATCATGAAATTGCAACTTGCAGTGGCAAGAAATTCAATTTATTTTTCATATATTTTTTATTTGTTTTTTTTATGGATATATCTGTTATTGTCATGGTACAAATATATCATTTTCTTTCACTGACTATGACAAAAGAAATAAGCTGGAGCAAATGTACTTTTAAAATACAGAGATCTGTGGGTTTTTTTTTTTTTCATGCAGAGGCTTTTACCATTTGAGAATGAATATAAGCAATAATAGAAATTATAAATATATCTACTCTTCCCACAGATCAAGGCAGGTTTGCTTCCAGTTCTGAATTTACTATTGTTTAGTCTTAACCTGGCATTTTTCAGATAAGCAAAAATATAAATGCTAGCATTTTCTTTTAATATCATTAAAATAACAAATATCAATAAAATGGTGTTTACAGTTTCCTCATGCCTTGTAAATTTTTTTTATATTGGCGAATATATATATATATATATATATATATTTTTTTTTTTCCCCAAAGAGGATGGGGAAATTCACCAACTGCACAACCCTCTTCTGAAGTGCTGTCCTTATTACTCACTGCAGAAATAAAGTCATCTTTCTGAACTGTTGTGGCCTTTTTTTCAAGAATGAGCTGCTGGTGGGAGGGGAATGGTTGCAAAATGTGGTCCATGTTCTTGCTTGGCTGCCGCCTCAGGTTKTAAGGACTATCTAGGTCATACTTTGACTCTTCCCTGCTGTAAGGCAGTCTGCTTGGGCTCCTGAAGGCCACAATTCTTCTGAACTACCCTTTTTTTCTGGCTAGAAATTTTGGCCAGCTCTTTGGCATGTGCACTAGTTCCAGCCAGGCTGCCAGACATCTGGAAATCCTGGATAGATGGATAACTCTCATATCCTGATCAATGCTGTACTGCAGGCCCAGCCCACGCAAGTGTCAGATCTCTAGGCATGTGCTTATCGCCAAATGCCTAAGATGCATCTGGAAGAGGGAGAGCTGTTGTTTTTCATGCAGTGTTCAGTAACACACAGGATAAATCTGTTCAGTATTCAAATATACAGAAGTGATTCTGTGCCGGAAAGCTTTCCTCCAATCCCTTTCAGACCAACTGTATCAGTCAAATTATTATAATTTTTCCTCATGTAGGCAGTCTGTGCAGATTTGTATTGGCTTTTGCAATGTATCAATTCATTCCATTCTGTTACGGCCTTAAAAAAGAATAGCAATAGTCTCGGAGAAAGCTTTAACAGTCAATCAAGTCATATTTTTAATAGAAATATTCACAATTCTGATGTTTTCTTGCTTTTTTATTGTCAAACCAAGATAAACCGGTTAATCCATACTATGATCTGTTTCCTTTTTGTTGCTAGGYATTGACCTGAGATTGAATGAACAAATCTGATTTGAATGCTCAGAGATATTTTTTGCAGTGATAGTTTCTGTGTGATCTGAACTGGCAGCCAGACTAGTTACATACATGGAATGATTTGCAAGGGAAACATTCAGGGCTTCACCATTTTGGACAATGATGCTTAATAAATGCTGCTTTGTTTTATATCTACTGTACGCTTTTGTTGGGCTTGGCCTGTTCCCCTTGGTGAGAACACGACATGGGTATTTTTTTTTTTTGTTGTTATCTCCATTGACCTCAGAGAAGTTCTCCTAACTTGCAAATTCTGAAGTAATCAGGCTCTATTTTTCTTTATTTTGTCTATATTTAACAGAAACTGCAAGCTGAGTAACAGCAATTTTTCCATGGCTTCTGTAGATATCCTATACATTGATATCACGAGAAGGTGGAACAGCGTGGGAATTGATCACAAAGAATCAGGTAATAGTATTTTTATTTGAAGATAATGAAACCTGTTTTTCTTGTATTTTAGTAGTTCCAGCACACCTCCAGCTTCCAGTAGGAATAAAGGGAGCAAGGCACGTGCATCTAGCACGTYTATGCATGATAAATGTTTCTGTTTAGATCCAAGCAGTTTCCCTTTGTATATAGAATAGACTCCATAGTTTTGAGTTTGTTTGTCAGAAGAAGTCTGTTTAGCTAGATTTGTTTTTCTGTTTGTTTGTTTTTCCCACAAAACCTGACACATATGGAAAATATGTGTATTTGCATTTAGAATTTCAGTATGGGCATAAGCCATTTTAAGTGGCTGGTTGATAGAATTTCACTGACAAAAAACATAGATATGCAGGTGAATCTTCAAACTCAGAACTGAGCCTCCAGAATTGAAGAGATTTGTTGAAATTCTCAATGAACTAGACATTTTCTGGGTGTTAAAATAACAATGAACATGTGGGGGGAAATGACAATATCAAAACCCAACACTGAAATGTAATCTCAGTAAAATGTAACATTTCGGTATGTAATCTCATTGAGGTATCTGTGACTTGGCTTTGTGTTTGGGCCACTTTTAGTTCTAACCAACACTACTAACCAACTATTACTGTTGTGATAAAACAGCAGCTTCTAACTTTTTCATTAAATGCTTCACGAGTATCTGTCTTTTGCTACCAAAGGTGCTTTCTCTGCCTGTAGCTCACCATGACTGATAAAATATTTATTGAGCTGGCAGCTGCTGCTTTCAGATAAACCAACGTTTTTGTTGCAAGCTGTTCTATAGCCAAAATCATAAAGTGACCTCAACTGCACTCTTATTTTAGAGCAATTATACTTAAGAATTTAATATTACTAAAAGATGCCTTTCCAGCAATATCAATACACCAACGTTAAGTTAAAAGATCCAAATATTTCAGCATCTCATCTTGAGATAATCTTCTAAAGYGGATGTTCAAACTGCATGAATGAGTTAAACACAAAGTTGCGCTGACTGCTCCATGTTGCTGGCATTCTGAAAAGCTGCTTTGTGGTCTGGCTTCTTGATTAGGAATTAAACAGGGTATTACTTCAAGGTTGAAAATACAATAATTAGCATTAAAATGTAGCCACTCTTTCCACTACCTGTGTTAATATATTATTAATATGATATGATCAAACAACATCTGAAGAATTCTGTCCTGCAGCATTTGGTTTCTGCAGGGTACTTTTGTTCATGAAGGGGCAGAACAGAGTTTTGCTGTAGCAGAATCTGGGGCAATGCTCTGCTTTCCCTTCTAACATGCTGCAACTGGTTGTCTGCCATCTCCTCATCCAATAAGTCTGATATCGCAAGATTGATACTTTTATTTCCAATACATTGCTATAAGTCTGTGTCTGAGTGGTTATGTTGGTAGTGTTTTAAATAAAGAGGTAAGAAAGAGGATGTGTAGGAAACCTCTGTGAGACAGCTGCTGATAAATAAAACCCATTCCAGTATTTGGCGCCTCCCTCCATCACATGTCATGAGCCAAATTAGCCTTCTGTGCCTACCTTTCAGGTTCCAATTTTTGCATTTGGCCTGTGAGGAAGGCCAGTGCACCCAATCTCCCATTTGTAGCATTCTTTAATTAGTATTGATTGGGTCAGCAAAGGGCTATGCCATGAGAAGTTGTACTTTGCATATACAGGGTTGCATATATGTATAAAAAGTGTAGGGACTGGATTTCTGAATGGGGTAATGATGGCGTAGAACGTGTAGCTGGATGCTATTATAAAAGGACATACTTTTTTTCTTAATGAGCATTCTAGGTGACTACTGTTAAATGAAAAGATGTAAACTAACATGATTGCATGAATACACACCCTGTCACATAGACATTTGGTCCTGGTGCTAAAGAAACAAGAATATTGTGTTTAAAGAACGTAGTATGGTGGAGACTTGTGTTACGAATCTCCTGTGACCTCTTTTTCCTTGCAGGGATGTGTTGGCAAGCATTTGTGGAAGCTTTCTTCTTCCTGGCTCAGAAAAAATACAAGTCACTCCCACTTCCTGAGCAAGTGGCATCACTGATTGATTTCTGTGAATACCATCTCGCTGTTCTGGATGAGAAGCGTCTGGTTTGCGGCCGAGGGATAGTGGAGCGCCGAAATGCACTAGTTACTTGCCAGACAGATGGACTTCAACTTACACCAGCTGCTCATACACCCCTCCTGAATCGCATGGCTACAGCTAGTAAGCTTGCAGATTATAGAAACCATCAATACTAATGGTGCTATTTTATCAGGGCAGAGCAGGGGGAGACTGATGGAATTGAGAAATTAATTCCAGGTATGTACAATAGGAGGTGGAACAGATGCTTGAGTTCCTCCATCTGATAGTCAAAGTTATTTTAAAGCTATTTTCTACGCTATTCAAAAAGTCTGTTGCAAGCTCCCTTTTGCAGATAATGACTCTTCCTGGGTACACTTTGAGCAACAAACTCTGTCTTTATTCTGCTTGTATAGAATACCATGCATGAAGACAAACAACAGAACAAATATGAGGTTGATAACCAGCATCATGGGATTGGTTGCACTAATTGAGGCATGTTACATGAAAGGAATTATGTTGCTTTCTTTGTATGCACTGGATGTATCGTGGAAACGAAGAAAGGATCTGCAGGCTAAATGCCAGCTGTGTGCTTTGGCAAGCTAACGCCTGGATTTGCGTATGTGGTCAAAATTTATGCCTTGACCATCTTTTTTTGGTAGACTATATTGAATTTGTTGGTATCAATGCAGATTTTATTTATTTACTATAGTTATGTATTTTGTTCATATTTTATGTTAATCTTAAAACATTAAAATAATAATATTTTGCTTCTATTTCTTCATACATGACTTTGCCAGGACAACTACTGTTAATTTTTTAAGGAAATACTAAAGCTATTTACCCATTTTGTTTTCAGAGAGCAAATAAGCTCACACTTATTCACAGAAAAATTAACTTTATTTGTTAAGTCAAGTACTGGTTTTGTCTTCAAAGAGCTCTGCTTCTGCAGAGAGTTCTGTAAGAGCCTCTTTGCAGCGTAAAGAGTTCATGTAGAGTCCAGTGAAATCAGTCACTGATTTCAGGCTTCASTATTCTAGGATTGAGCTTTATTTTGTTTTGGTTTTGGCTGTTTGCTATCTTATTTGGACCTGCAGTAGCATTTGAAGTTGATTTGTGTTTTCCTCCTTTCTTCCTTAGGTAACACTATAATTCTCTAGAAATTAAACTGTTATGCAACAGGATATTTTGTCAAGAATGTGGGACTATACCATTATAGCTTTTTTGAAGGAGTTATATAGTGTTTTCTTTTTAAAAAAAGTAAACCACGACTTCCATAATCTCGCTTAGGGGGGCCCTAAGTAAAGACATGAGGATAATGGAAAGGACCTGAATATGCTGGCAATTCAGGGCTGTTCAGTCAAGATTTTAAAAATGATCTTCGAGGAAGTGCATTTTAGTGCAGAGGATTTAGGATCTTTACACCCATTTGATGCTGTGGACTAAATGTATACACAGCACTGAGTGAATTCAGTACAGGTTTGGAGTTAAATTCTTGATTTGAGTTTTAAGTAGCATCCTTTTCTCATGTGGTGGCAATCAGTAGCAAGGCTGCATGAGTTAGAAGTCAAGCTGAGGGCACAGGAAATGGTAAGACTCAAAATATATTAATATCAGATGCAGAAGTACCACCTTTATCCTCTTGTCTTTTCCTTTAAAACAGATAGAAATAGTAGTAGATAATCTATTTTCTGTAATGGCTAGACTGAAATTTTATGTATTATACAGTAAAGAGGATGATTATAGACTAATGTCACTGCCCTCAGCTTTGGTTAAGTTTCATAAAGATTATTGCAATATGAAGATAAAATGCCAAACTCCAATGTTTGGCATCTGTCAGAACAAATGAAGCGGGAAGGGTCATTTTTTTTTCACAGTTTAATTGTAATATATCTGAAGACATTCACAAGTTGAGAAATGGTTACTTCTCATTTTGTGACATCTGACATTTGTCTTGCGATTGGCAGTGTGTTACTAGAAAATAGCTTACAGTTCCTCTCATTTTGTGATTGATGTCCTGTAGAGACAGACTTATAGAAGGATAGGATTTGAGGTGTTACAAATGTGAATGCCTTTCCTTAGAGCTTTCAAGTAGTACAACCCATGCCCTCCAAAACCAATTTTTTGCTACTGTAAAGCAGTTATCCTTATATCCAGGTAAAATAAATTAACTATTGTATATAATGAACATGGATAAGATCTCTATTTTGATGATCTTTTGATGATGCAGATTTTTTAGCCTTTTCCTGCCGAGGCTATAAATTGAGCATTGTACCCAGTTTGTCTCCTAATATGGAGGTCCTTTGTAAAATAGTCAAAATATTCAGTTTTCTTTCTCTAGTAATCCAGTGTTTGTGTACTGTTATAATTGGCATGTGCAGCATTGTGCAGCAGGCCCTCTGCAGCACCGTGCTTGCTTGCTAGTGTGAAACAGGAGGCAAAATGCCTGCTGTAGTTGCAAACCAGTCACGAGTGACTTGTAGCCAACCCAGGGTCTGACCCTGCTGTGATTGCTGGGGGAYAGACCGTGACAATCTGTTCCTGCATACTACTGGGATCCTGTAACTTTCTTTTCCATCATGCTTTGTTATTTTTCCTCTTAATCTCCTGGTTCTGCTTTTTCCGCTTGTCTAATGAACAGCTGCAGTCAGTTTGGCTGGATCGCACGGCTGAACTTCCTGCCTTGCTCTATGACCTTTTCCGTAAGCTGAGCTCCTTGGTTTGGAAGGGGAGTCTCTCCTGCTCTGCCTTCCTGCGGTGTCAGCAGCCCTTGTGGACACATCAGTTTCAGACTTGCTGAGCCCCATGGGGAAGACGGATCGAGGGGAGCGCTGGTGAAGCTGCTACCGGCTGCTTCGGTGTCTTGGACACAGTGGTCTCCTTTGGGATTCCTCTGAGTTTCAAAAACTCATCGGGATTTGGAGCTTGCTGCTGGCAGCGATCCTGCTCCATAGAGCTGTAACCAAACCATGGCTTCCATGCATCCAACTTCACGTGCTCCGGACCACGGGCTCAGCTGAAGTTGGCTGCCCTTTGCCTTGGCTTGTTGGGCTGGGGCATGCACGTAGGTGCCCCAAAGGTGATTTATTTCAAGGGCAGACATTAGCGAGCCCTCTCCTACACCTTTGTGCTTCTGTAGCGGCATGGTGTGCTGACGCAGACTGCATCATGTGGTGATGTGGCTGCCACTGCAGCACCAACACTCCTTAAGTCACAAAAACGCCGCTTTTGTGCAAGCAGCGAATGCACTGCTGTTCTTCTCATTTATTTTCCTCCCCACTCTGCTTTCAAAGCTTTGCACTTTAATTCTGCGGATGTTTTGACCCCCTTCCAACAGCCTCCTGCCTGTGCTGCCAGCCGTGCACGTGTTTTCCCCGGGGTGAGCACATGGCATTGGTTGCTGTTGAACATTGCCGGTGTGGAAAACACTGCAGTGGAAAATAAAAGATGCAAGTGGTTGGTAAAATGTGTGGTATTGTTATTTATTCATTTTAAATTATTTTAAATAAATGCATTATTTAAATCAATGCGCCGTCCAAGGGTGGGAGCGGGGCCGGGGGGGACGTGAGGGTGTGGGGGGAAGGCGGGTTCTGGAACATTCCCCTGGCGACCGTTACCCGGCGCTCAACGGCCGTTAACGGTCGCCGCGCGGGCGGGGCGGGCGGCGGCTGCAGCGCGCTCCCGTGAGTATGCCTCAACGTGCACTTTTCTCTTTTTATTCGCAAACGTGCCAGTGTTTATAAACTATTGGGAGAATTTTATTGCTCCACGCACGTGGAAACCCCAGGGGAGACCGAGAGGGACCGGGGATAACAAAAGTGTTGCAGACCTTGTTGCAGAGGAAGGGGCATCCCGGGGCGGGGAGAGCTGGGCGGCGTTGGCACGGTTTGTTTTTTCTTGTTGTTTGCTTAAATGTTAACAATTTAAGTCATGGAACAAGATTCTTTTAGCCCTGTAGATGAAAAGTGTATTCGATTAAGCAATGCTATGAAATGTAAAATGCTGATCTTATTGAACTGGTCTGAGAGGAATTAACAGCAATTCCTGCCYGGTGCTCATAGGTAGTTTCCTGAGAGCTTTTCAGTACAGTTCACTGAGTTATGCCCGGCAGTTGCCTTTTTGCTGCTCTGATGCGTTAGGGGACCCTGTGCAGAGTACCTTACAAGTGGGCTCAAATGCGTGCTTGGGATCCATTGAAGGATTTTCTGTATGTACATATTAAGGTAGTTTGATAACATGTTGGTAAATAACTTTGAAACTGGAGTGTTGAACTTCTTATGGCCTTGATGTTCTTGTCGTTAAGTTAGCCAGGTGTTTGAAACATGGGAGCTGCAATTGCTTCTGGTCTGATTGTGTTCCTGAGCTGCACCTGCCTGGGCCATGGCTGTTAACACACCTGCAACTGCCCTGATAACTGGGGCAGCCCAGAGAGCCAGATTTTCTTTGGCATGTATGCAATTTCCAAGCAGTATGCAGTGAAGGTGGTGGAAAAGCGTGAAGAAATACAGAGGAAATTTGTATTTCTATGCAGATGGCATCATAGCTGTGTATGGCTCCCACTCTGCCAAAGGCCTTTACCCAGGCAGAGGAAAGAGGTTAAGTCTTAATAATCACTTTGCGTCTCTTGTTCTGCAGAGATGTTGATTTTGAGCATATCCCTCAGGTGCTGACTAATTCAGGATCATGACTATTAAATAGATTACGTATGTGAGCACTATTTAGTAGTATCTACTTAATATGTCAGACAGCTCTCAGAATAATATTTATCAGCTGCTAGGTTTGTCATTGTATAGTCCTGAATGAAATAAGTCACTTCCTTGTAGCTGTCTTCCATCAATGAGGACACAGACTGTAGGGACCCTGCTTGGCGTATGGGACGATTCACAGCAATTTGACAGCTCTGTGTGCTTGCAGATGTGCTCCTGTGCTACTGATTAGTTTGAAATAGAAAGAAGCAGTTGGAACGTCTGCCGCCCTCTTTCCCCCGCCATTGTCATTATGAAGGAGGGGAAAATTGAACTTACGTCCCTATCCCTTGCCTTATCCTGATCATTTTTGGTGTTATTGTGAAGTTAGGTTATTGAACCCCATGGTTCTCAATGATATGACTTGTTTTGGAAAGAACTACTTTATGGAGAAGTTTTACCTGAAGAGCTTTGTGCCCTTCCCAGCAGCTGAGCAACTCTGCAGGCCTGGGCAGCTGGAAGTGAATGTGGGGATTTAGGTGGATCAGCTCTTTCTGCTTCTGTTTTCTCTAACAGTGCCTTGTTCCAACTTACTTAGGTATCCAGCTTGCTACAAAGGAATGTGCAGGGTGTACCTGGAAAGCAGTGGAGGAAGTCGGCACAGACTTGCTCTCTATTGGATGCTTTTATCTGCAGCATCTCAGCTATGTGGGTGGCTCTGTCAGGCACTTGTCATAGTCCAAATGCTTTCTGAAGCTGTTCCAATTTCTGTGACAAATAAGTAGGCCTGTCATTCATGTGCATTGTTGTCTTAGTCTCTATTTTGTGAGTTTACAAAACAATTGTAAAAATCTCTCGATAGTGAGCTCAGTAATTAAAGCAGTGATTACTGAGTGCCTCCTAAGAGGCTTAGAAATAGCTGCTTTCTCTGCTTGTGCTGCTGGATATATGTAGTCCTACGCTGCAGCAGGCTTCTYGTGGCCCTTATTGCCAGCT